AGTCATGGCATGGTGGGACATGGTGCTCTCTCCTGAAGCAATCCATGAAAATCATTGAAACAACAGTATACACTCGCAGAATAACATTAATTTTTTGAATGACGTCGTTACCATAAATAAACCCTCCTCCAATTTCGACGCGGCTTCTTTCCCCTCCTTGTAGACGTTCCCATAAATAAACCCCCCTCCAATTTCGACGTGGCTTCTTATCCCTCCTTGTATTTCTTCCTATTCTTCCTTCACACTCATCGTACTCTCATCCTACCATGCTTCGCCATGCTCACACGAGGTAACCCACTGCTCTCTTTTTTTTCTCCTCCTCCTCCTTTTTTCTCCTTCTCTCTTCTCTTTCTTCATTCTTCTCCTTTGTTCTTCTTCTTTCTTCTCCTTCTTTCTTCTCCTTCTTTCCCCTCTTGGTCTACCTCCAACGTACATTCCACGTAATACGACCTCCACCCTCTTTTCCTCCCCTGAGGAGGTGTCTACCACATCGGACGAGACGACCCAGCCCCCTCGATCCCCACGTTTCTTGATTTCTTTACTTGGTTTTTATTTAAAAGAAAGGCCAACGGCCTTAAGGTTTTCTTGATTTCTATACTTAGTTTTTTATTTAGAACAAAGGCCAACAGCCTTGAGGAGGGGGCGGCGGAGGAGGAGGGGGGAAGAAAAAAGTTATTTTTCTTAAAACAAAGGCCGACGGCCTTGAGGAGGGGGAGGAGGAGGGGAGGGAGGAGGAGGGGGAGGAGGAGGGGGAGGGAGAGGGGAAAAGCCTGAGAGAAGACCTGGGATAATGCCAGACCATGAGAAAGGCCAGCTGCGGGTCGGGCGAAGGGTATATAACACAAACCATCACCAATTGCCCACATAGGCCGGCAAACCTGTGGGTGTACCCGCACCCAGTGGCAGATGGCCTGTCTCATGGTCTGTCGTTATCCCAGTGGCAACAATCGGTAGCGGGTGAGATGGAGACAGAGGAGGAGGAGTCGCAGAGAAAGACGGAGGAAGAAGCAAAAGACGAAACAATTATGTGCGAGCGCTACAATAAGTTGCACACGCAATATGAGAATTCAAAATTCAGAACAAGAAGACGAAGGACAGGAAGAAGAAGAAAAAGAAGAGGAAGAATTGAGGTGCAAAGCTCACTGCTCAATGAGAAGAAGAAGAAGAAGAAGAAGAAGAAGAAGAAGAAGTCGCACAGCGAGGTGTAAAGCTTACTGGTCAATGAGAGGAAGAAGAAGAAGAAGAAGAAGAAGAAGAAGAGAAGAAGAAGAAGAAGAAGAAGAAGAAGAAGAATTGAGGTGCAAAGTTCACTATTCAATGAGAACAAGAAGAAGTCGCAGAACGAGGTGCAAAGCTTCCTGCTCAATGAGAAGAAGAAGAAGAAGAAGAAGAAGAAGAAGAAGAAGAAGAAGAAGAAGAAGAAGAATTGAGAATTGCGACTGGCGAGGTAAACCGCTAACGGTCCAAGCAATGATACGATGTCTTCATCAGACCTGGCCAGACATACCCAAAGCTCAAAATGCGCACATTTCCCCACGTGAAGAAGAAGACGATGATGATGATGATGATGATGAATGAAGAAGAAACGAATAGAGAGAGCGAGGGCGACGCTACGTACCCATGCTTCCCAAAGATAACATCACAGCATCTGCACGAACCAGACCACCATCG